AAAAAAAAAAAAAAAAAAAGGAAAAGAAGAAGAAAAGCAATCCTGTACCTGTGCCTTTATTTTCAGGATCTGGAGCAAAGAGCTTTACAGTAACTTTGGGAAGCACCCACTGCATCCATAAACTAACACGTCCACTGGTTCCGCCAATATTACTTGTAGTTTGTTCCAAGGTGACGGAATCTGAGAATGGTGAGTCCTCACCTGCTTGTATAGAATCTCCCTGGGATGAGGAGAAAAAAAAAAAAATCTTATTTTGTAACATAAACAAAAAAAATTCAAATTATAAATTAAAATCAGCAATTATTATTTGTAACTTTTTCACATCTTATATGCAAATGATAATCACATAAACATTAATACTAATACATAATGCTTATATGTAAACATATATTCTCAAATGGTTTTTGTTAGAAAGCACATGCATGTTTCCAGCTTCCTCTAAAAGTAGGTAAGATCTAGAAAAGGTTAAGATTAAACCATTGAGTATGTTCCTACAGAGTAGAGTCTGCAAGCTACAGTTAAGGGGCTAATCTGTCTGTATTGGGGAATAAAGTTCTACTAGATCACAGCCACCTCCATTCATGTATTGACTGCATATGATTTCTTTTCAGCAGAGTTGAGTAGTTGCTATAGAGAAGCTATGATCTACAAAGTCAAAGGTATTTACTAACTGGCCCTTTACAGAAAAATATTTGTCTACCCCTTCTATAGAGTATTTATAATGGAACCTAGAATAACTATAGAAAAGTGATTATCAGTTTAAGAAACAGCAAAATATTAATCATGCCTTGCATGTTAATTAAGGAGACATTAAAAATTAGTAGATTTGACAATATAATTTTTAAAATGTTTTATATGGTTAAATGTTTCTTAGCGGAATACAGCATAAGCTTATCTGATTCAACAAATACATACTGAACTCTGAATATGTATAAGGTCCTAAATTCAGTGCTAACGAACTTGCTGTCAAAGGCTTGTTGGTTTGTTTTTGGTCTTTTAAGCAGCTTTTAGTAGGCCAGAATAAAATAAACCCTTTTATTTAAAGTTGAACTGGAGTTGAATAGCTTCAGTCTCAAATGCGGAAGAGATGCTGCAATCATTGACATGTTGAGTTCTTTCAGGATTAGCTATAAATATGGGGTTCCTAAAATCCCAAACTTTGCTGTCCATTTAAAACTTGCAAACAAAACTTGCAAGTTTAAACCCATATACTCTGAAAACTGATCAAACACAATATAACATTCTTACTTGTTTAAAAGATGTATATGTATTTACATATTAGTTATAGATACTTAGTTAAGCTTAGTCTGTCAGGCAGTATGGTGTACTGGGTTAAGGAATTCAGATGCCAGTCATGTGATTTTAGGCAAGTAGTTTAACTTTTCAGAGTCTGTTTACTTCTCTGTAAAATGGTTATTATAATGATATTCATCTCTTACAGTTAAGATTAAATAGCAATATGAACGTGAATGAAGTATATACACATAGAAATATTTCATAAATTATAGGTATAATTATCATTATCAAGTTGAACTGATGCTTAAGAAATTGTTCACTCACATTCTTACAGAATTTGGTCCCTCTATTGCCTTTCTCATTTTCTCATCTTTCTAACTTCAGACACGTTTTCTTTTGCTGTATATCCTCAACCTCCAATAGTTTATTGTTGCTTTGAATGTCTCAAACAAAAATGTTAATTTCCTATGCTAACGAGTCATGACCAGTAGTCAACTGTCAAAACAAAACATCCCTTAAAATTTAAACAAAGACAATATAATATGATCAGTATTCCATTTTCTATAGACAGGTTGTCAGAGCAGAAGCTACTAATCTCTAAACACTTAAAAGCAGGAATGATCATTAAAATCCTATACAAAACAAACCAAAGCCCCGGCTCTCATTATCACAGACATGCCATCTAGACCAAGGTATATTCAGCTCCTACATGAGGCTTTTACTTTAACTTCATTGTTTTATAACATCTTTCAGTCAGAAGAAAATTCAATTTCCCTGCAACCTCAGAAGGAGGCCAAATGGGGAAGATTTTCACAGCATGACAGGCTGTGTTTATTGCAAGAACACTTAGGCACCAAGCATAGCAAAGTAACAGTGTTCTGGGATTTACTACTAGAGAAAATTATAGAGTTAAACCTGAAGACAGTATAGTTACTCTTTGTCCCAAATACATCAAACAAAGCAAATAGCTCACTGTTTGTGGGGTTTTCATATAAATGCTTTTACAAAATAAGTAGTTCTAAATCTGCTACAACAGAAATTCCTACAACTTGAGAAGCTATAAAAAAATCAGGTTTTTGGTTAGCTGTCTAATGTAACACAACATCTAATAAAAAGCACAAACTAATTCCAGATAAGGATGCTTATTAAATAAAAGGCAAGATAATATAGCCTTTCTTGATGGATAGGTTTTTAGAGTAGAATTATGCTTAAATTAAATCCTCCCTCCAACAGACAGAAGAACATCATATTCCAAGAATGGAGAACTGAGAGAAAATAGCCTCTCAAATCAACAAGACTTCAATTTTTAACACTACTTGGTATACTTGCTAAGAAAACTGGCTGCAAAATTAGCAAGCACTCCTCAGTAAAAGCTTTGCTCTACTTCCTCACGCAGTTTCAATTTTCATTTTGGATTTACAACATTTTGTTTGGTATTGTTAAACATGTTTGTGCATTAATTTTCTGCTCTGTTTCCAAATCTGTTGTGAAAATCAGGCCAGAAATGGAGATGCTGAACTATTTTCCCATACGTCCTTAGGCCAAGTTCTAAAATAAACAGTTCAATTCTTTGACCATTTTGTTGCAAATTGACCAAATACTAAGTTTATTTTCCTAGGTGAATTTATCTTTGTTCATTTGGAAGAGCAAACACTTTATAGCCCTTCATCCTTGGCCTGCTTCAGAGCTTAAGGATGACCATAGTTTTGGCCCCATTGCTACTTTCTCTTATCAAAATAACTCCTGCGTTCTTGTTCAATCACAAAACTTCCCAAAGGGCTAAACACTTCGACCACTGGTTGTACTTAAGTCAACAGTAACAAGTGGCCTGCTTTGGTCTCAACTACCTGTGCTCCCACTATTTCAATGCAAGAGTGGGAAAAAATTAAGTGTTTTAAGCTCAGTACTTAATCTTCAAACTCATATTTCCCACTTTACCATGACTCAGACTGAAACACAGGAAGCTGGAGCTATATGTGCACAAAAGTACAGTGCTGCCTATCAACATGTCAGCATGAAAAGTAGTACGTAATCATAAAGTATAAATCATCTAAGGATCATATAAACAAATACTTTCATTTAATACAAACAATTGTTAGAATGTGTTTTCTTAAACTAGATTCATTTACAGTAAGTTCTCTATATTCAATAGTTTTGACCCAACTAAGCAAGAAAAACAATGTTTTAATAGTAAAATGTTGAAAAATCTTAATGATTGTTTCTGAGTGCAAATTGTAATTTTAAAAAATCAAACCTGCAATTTCAAAGTGTTCCGCAGATACATAATTAACATAAATAATGCAAGAAATGTAAGGTAATCTCAGATTATAAGCTTATAATTACATAATAAAACTATCTGAGTTTTAAAAAATCGAGTAGCCAATAATTTAAAGAAATTTTTGATATGAATATTTTGAAATAGGAAAGGCTTTATACACAAAATATTTTGTTGAATGGTATGTGATGGCTAAACAATAACCTTCATTTTCCTAACTTGTTTTGATATCTTAATTTTTTCCACAGCTATTCAAATAAGATGATAGTCTAAATGTTATGATTTCTACATTTTGAATAAAAGTTTCTCTCTAAATGTTAAGGATAAAACCATTCAAAGAAAAATATGAAATGACCTAAGTGTTTTCAGGAGTTTTAAAACAATTACAAGAAATTTTAAAAATAGCAATTGAGTAAATTCAAACTTAATATCCTATCTAAACGGTTGTTTGAATAATAATTTGAGGTAGATTACTGCATAGGTTAATTGCACTCGAATAACTGAAAAACTGATAAGAGTTTTGCTACTACAGCAAACTCTCTCAACAACTCTGAAGTTGATGCCAAACAACCTTAGTCCAGTATTCACTTTTCAATTATCAATGTATGTTAAACAGTTACTGGACATTAAAAAAGGAACCAATTCATGCTTAATTTTTTTAACTAGGCTTATAATAACGCAATTTTAATTTTTGAATCAATAAATAATGCTTGTCACATTGTCACACTTTGCCATGACCCTAAGCTTCCCAACACTGAGTAGTTAATATATCAATTTTTATTTAGGCAGAGTTGTAAATAAATATTCTATTATTCACTCAGCATTTTAGATTATTCTGCAGCTTTGAAATTATTTCCTATACTACTGCTGTGATTAAGGAAGACATTACCAAAAACATTTTATATATACAGAAAAAGTTAAAATGAAAAAAACACTAAATAATTTGCCTAAAATCACAACTCAGAGGAATTTAATTTTGTCAACACAATATAATCCTTTAAAATCACATTTACTGAAACTACTGAAAACCCAGAGATCCAAAATATGATTTTATGTAGTTATAACAGTTTCCCAAAGACATATAGGTTATGAAAGTATCCTGTAAGGGAAGATGTGTGTGTGTACTTGTGTATGTATGTATGTGTTTGCTTTGTTTACTTGTCATGAGGAGGAATCATCAAAATGTTAGTGCTTTTAATGGCAGTTTTTATTGTTGCGCTGTTCTGTAAACAAAATAGCATAAAAATTTTAATGAGTATAATTATTTCCTATACTACTTCCTTAATCACAGCAGTAGTACAGGAAATAATTTCAAAGCTGTAGAATAATCTAAATATATAATGTTCCACTTTCTAGACCACTTACCTGAATAAAAATTTGACAACTTCATCTAACTGAAGTATAGTTCAGTATGTTCTTCATAAAATATAAAGTTTTATTTATCTTTAGAACCGATGCAACAGTGAGTGTGGCAGAAACAGGTGGCTGTATTCCCAAATTTTGCTCTCCCTTCTATAATACAAAGTTGTCTCTGAGTAACAGTAATCCAACTACAGGCTAAATTTCCCAGCCCACCTTGGAATTATGTTTATATACACATCCATACCCCATCACTAATATGATAAATTCCTCAAAGGATAAAGGATTATGTCTTAATAACTTAGATTTAAAGAGAAGACTGAATATTAATAAGCTAAGAATAAAATTTA